GACGGCTCTTTAAGTCTTTTGGGTTGGTTCATGATTTAAGCGAAATTCGTCAATCTCCACAACCCTATATTTCTACATTTCACACTGTGGTCATATAACGTAACACCCATCTCTATTCATGCATTTTGTCGTATAGAGATAGGTCTTATGGTGTTGTCATTTAGAAGGATAAAGAGAAATTCACGAATAAACCATCCAACTCAGGTAAGACAATGCTAACATCCTCGTCCTCAGCTACAATTACTCCCCCATCATCTCAATAATCTAGATAATGTCTAAGCAATTAATTGCCGGATATCATAGAGCTGGAAAGAATGGAGAAATTATTATTAGATAAAAACTAGAAAGCTATCAAAAAACCATGAATGTATAGTTATTTTAAGTCATAAAAACGGTTGGTCATATATTCCTACAATTAAAAGTTAGTAACTTCAAGTGATGTAGCTTAAAAGTAGCCGACGTTTTGAAGACGCATTTATTTGTTACCTTTTGCCAAGTTTTGAACATAATGTACTAATTAATGATTTTGATTCGTCACTCCTATTTGTTTACGTTGTATTTTCATCGTTCAATTTCCACTTCATGTCGCTATTAATATTTATATGTCCAACTGTTCGATTTTAGTGTTATTAGCGATTAGAACCTATTAGGTTTGCTTAAAATGACGAATAGGTACTGTTTTATGTATTAGATTAACCGTAAACTTCATGAATAAGTGGGTGTAACATCTTGAGATATAAAAAATGCTATCGCATCTGTAACGCAAACAGCCTCTGGTCTATGTTTGACAACATGGAAGTTTCTTTTGATGTCAAATACCAATCACACATAATTCAGTTTTCACACCAACATGAGGATTTTATCGTGGATTTATAACAAGTGACAGGACAATTGAGAATCACCTGATGCTATTTTCGGACTTCAATGTTCATATCATGGACTGAATTCAAATTGACCTTCCGAAACCAGAAAGCACCGGACAGCCGTTTCGTCCTAGTATAGAATTGCTCAAAGGTATCCATCCATGATTCCACCTCAGGGGAGTTAACCCTGAACATTTAGATATAGCGGCGAGAGCCTAACATTTAAACCACTGAATTGGCATCCGGTAGTGTACATCCCCAACTTGAATCAACCAATGATACTGCGCAACCATTTTCTGATCTTATTCGTGGGTAACTGCTTCACTTTAAGCACAATGAAACTGCACTAGTCACAGCTTCTTGCTAGAAATCCGGGGATTGACTCCAGAAATAAGTTATTGGTAAATACAGGAGCATATATTTTCGAATGGAATAATTCCTCGTTACAACAGACAAAACTATAAAACCAGTAGTGAGATCTGTGGCTAGCGCATATACGAAATAAAACTATCACGTAAAATAATGACAAACAATTAGCATAATAAGATACTATAAAATAAGTGAATACCATTTCAAATAACAAGTAAACCTAATCAGTATTTAATTTACTTCTCAAGGTAAAAAAGAAATAATTACAGCTCTGCCGAATTAAGAAAAAACAAAAACAAACAAACGAAATACACTGGACGAATTACGTGGAGTGGGATTTCAAAACTTAACCCAATAACTTAAAGTTGAATTCTTCATGAAGCAGACCACATTACCCAGAGCCTATGTAGTGACCTACTTTTATCAAGAGAACGCGATTGGTTTAACGGAAACAATTATTATTATAACCAATTGTACCAGTGATTGTTTTACTGTACTTGCTTGTTTATCTGTACTAAAGACATTCTTCCTTCCTTTGATTGTGACCTTGCACGAATTCGGTTACGCTCAGTAACCACACTTGTAATTCTTTGGCACGATCTCAGTATTCTTTGGATACCAACAAATACATCTCGACTACAGCCATCAACTGACTTCTGATATTTGGCTTACGGGGGGTCTTATCGGTTAACTGGCATGTAGTCCTCCTATAGTGGTGATCATAGTCAACCGCGACACGACGCCACACTACACCTACATCCACTACCTTTTATTATGAAATTTATCACGTAGGACGTGTTACTTAATCCAATTTACCTGAAAAGTTTTATTTTGAAGCTAGCCATATTATCTGACAAAACATTGGTAAACAGAACGTGGGTTCTGAACTGGTGATCTGTTCATTTAAAATTAGAATGTCTGAACTAATGAGATATCTCCAAATAGTTTATAGCTCTACACATCGGCTCTATTTATTCTGAAACAGAACTAGTCTAAATGGATTTTTATATTCGGAGTTCCCTTATTTATGCAAACACATATACATTGATTGATTTGTCCATCTAAGGTCATTATTATGACAACTAAATGACGAGAAGTATCATTTTCTCATCTAATAACCACCAATTTGAGTGTTTCGCATTAGTGATGAACACCTAATCCAAAACAGTTTGAACTGAAACAATTAACAGGACTGATTTACGATCTAAAAGATGTGATTGGTAAGAAACACAACGATTTTAGATAATAACAGAAACCTACATAAAATTGGTCATATACAATGTTGACAATATGAGGAATGGATGTGTGCAGGAAACTATTTGCCCTAACGAAAATATTTCTCAAACTTAAGAAATACCCACATCATAGAAAAAGGCAAAAAAAGCTCTTTATGTATAATTCCAACGTAGCACAAGAAAAAACTTGATGCCAACTGAAACGTTAAAAAATTAACTGCATTAAACAAAATGATAGTATTTTTTTCTGGTGGGGAAATATAAAAAGGAAGGAGACAGTAAGCAGTAATAATTATGGAGGGGTGTAGTAATAAAAAGGCTGAGAAAAAATTTCGAAAACTACTAATACATACCGTGTACTAAATTTATTTCGCCTACACTCCGAGTCTTGGCAAAGGGAAACAATATACTCCTTTACAATATCGAAGGTCCTGGGTCCGATCCCTAGTGGTAGGGTTGAGGATGAACGCTGACAAGGAATTACATGCTAAAACGAAACTGCTGCCTACTGTTCTCTGTCTTTTTTCAGTGGTGATCTATCTGAGATCAGTTTCTGATTCAAACTATGAAATTCGATAATCTTTACGAAACCCCGTAGTCACTCATTTATGATTTTATTAAAACTTCATCAATGAGCACCGAGTTAAATAAAAGGAGTAATCGTGCTGACACAAAGCAACTGAATGAATTATTCGAATTCTGACTAATTCATTTTTAGGGGATTTCCAAGTTACTTATCACTTGCTTATAAATAAAGCACCTAGATCGACTTACTAACGACTGGTTTTCAAATGCGTGAAGCGATGGCCTAATGGTTGGAATGTTTAAATTTTACTCACTAAATTGTGGTTTCGAACCTTGATTCACTTATTTCGGATTGGGCAGTCGAGTAACATCACTAACCCTCAAACACGCAATGTACCTTAAAGCTGCGTTTATGAATCTGTCTTTTGTGAGTTGCTACATATCAAATTAGAAATTGAATATTGTCAAAATACTAGTGTAATGTTGTGACACCAACCACATTCGCGGCTGAAACAGTTATCCATACAGTAAAACTAGATGAAAAACGCATCATATTAAAAAATGACCGAAGTTGACAAAATGGTCGACTAAATTACAACCAAGTCGCTGCCAAAGCTGATTATCCTAGGTTTGAATATTGTCCAGTGTCTTGAAAATGGATTCATAATGAACTAGAAGTTAGCTAGAAACAGTTGTTCTGAGCTCCTTGGTTTGCTACGAATCGCTACTGGACTGTTTAAATCTAATAAATCTTGACAAACAAACTAAATGAAAGATAAATAAATTATCTAACAAATTAAAATTAATAAAACTTATATGTATGCAAACCACAACTGGTTAGACTTAAACTGTTTAAACACATATCTGAGATTAATTAATTAAAATATGACAACAGTCCTAATCAGTACAGAAGTTTTAGAAATTACAAAGCTATTTAATTAATTCTTAAGAAATCTCACTATTAATAACTGCTGGGGAGTCCCATAGTATTTCTTGGGAAAGTTCAGGGGGATTCAGAAAACGCTTGGAAACACTTTACCCAGTAAGGGTTGAACAGAAGCTACTCATAAACACCTAGAAACTGAAGAGCCATGTGCCACGTTTCTAACAGGATATTTGCCCATACCGTTACTATATTTAGTGTGGTTACAGAAATCTCCAGAAGCCGAAGGTTGTGCGTAACTCTATAAATACTCTCGTTTTTCTGTATAGAAACTAACCTTGGAATAAAGTGTATTTTTTGTACTTTGCGTTTTTTCTCTTGTGTTCAATTTACCGTGTAGATTTAGCCTGAGGTAAGCACTGATCACTTATACTCGGAACGAGGGACCTCGGCAATTCCCACGATGTGAAAGTAAGAACACAAGACTGGTATAAGTGAAGATTTATTAGCCCAAACACTATGACAATGACGAATCAAATATAGTATAAAATACACTGGTTTATATATTGATTGTACACCCATTTTGATTAATAATTAGGACGAAATCACATACTCAGTTATAACAAATCACTTAATGAGCATAGTTCATGTCAAGTGAATACAAGAATATCGTATATTATACAGAAGAAAATATCATACTGGAAAAACAATCAAATAGTACATTGAATGATCCTCATATTGAATCAAAACGGAATTAATCTTGAATAAAACTCATAACGAGTAATTCAATCGAAAATTGACTTTTCATCCCATCATATCAAGCAATAATTAATCTACTGGGTATAAACTCGGGTCCTAACAGGTAATTAGAGAAGGCTACGGAATCGCATCGAGCGTTCACTTAGCAGACTTATCAGCAACCGATTTATTTACTGTCCAACTAGCAAAAACATTTAAAAATACACGCTGGCTTATTTGAACACCTACTATTGAGATTCTGATATGAAAAAAAAAACTTTTTAAAAAAAATTATACACCACCTTTGTCTTGCACAAAGTTTCAAAAGGCTATGAAATAACAATCGATGGTAAAAAACATATGTCAAAAACAAAAATCATTATTTACCCGACTTGTAACTTTTGCACTGGCTACTCGTTGTCCACTCTGTCTATCCCATACATACAGAGTATGATCTTCTTGACTACCAACGCTAACTAAATATTGATCGTTCGGGCTGAAACGTACAGCTACGACACGAAAATGATGACCACCGAATTCAGCTAACTGACAATGATCTGACACACTCCATAGTCGAACCATTGGTTGATGACCTGACTAGAAATTATGATAATTTAGGAAAAAAATACTATTAAAACTATGATTAAACGGGTAATGATCAACATAATGGAATGACCAATGAATACATCGTCTTATTAGTCAGCTATTCTGATTAAAAAAAACATTTGAACTAGTAGACTGTGTTATATTTAGTTCATTACAGAAGTAGTTAAATTACTTTGCTTTCATCTTTGAACAAAGTTTAAATACAGAAAAAATAACTTAGAAAACACCCTGTATGGAAAAAACGCTCTAATAAAAATCCCTTGTCCACTATAATGAACCTTATGCTGTAAGTTAAAAGTAACTTGGAGGCATGTTAATTAACTATTTAATAGAGACGAAATATCATATTGCCTAGACTGTAACGCTGATCGAATCTAGTCAGTCGAATCGCAATGTGACTAATTGATATAGCTGTGGTATATGTTTGGTGTTACGCAGGTGTAAGTAATCGGTGGGGAACTTCAAATATAGGTTTGGGACTAATTAGTAATTGTCGTTAAAAATGTTATTAGCAATCCTGAGGAAGTTTATGTCCCTCCACGAAGGGATAGCTTAGTGATTAACGTACCCAGCTCTCAATCAATAAGTAAGCGGTTGAAACAATTGCATACCTACTTCGGTTTGGGCATTTGAGTAGTATCACTATCCCTAATACAATCAAATTAACTACGAGTTGAATAGATGAAGGAGTTATATTGCTCAATATTATACGGTAATGATGTTTAAGAGAATTGATGCAATGATAGGACAATAAATCCTATTCAAATCGAATATCTCAATTGAATGACACAAGAAACTATAAATCGACTCAGAAAGTAGGTTTGAATAATTGATTTTCGTAAACAGTAAATCATATGAAAATAAATAACTTGGTACTTTTGTTGAGTAGAGTAACCAAGATGCTTGAAAGTGTATGATTTCCTATATGTGAGTGAAGATATTAATGGCCGAAGAAAAACAAGATTCTCAGTCATAGGAAGATTAGAATTAGAAATTACTGACAAAAAATAAACCTTTCTTTGTAAAAAAAATTCAGTCTCTGTCAGTCAAAACTACTTTAAAATAGTCTAATTTATAAGTTATTTGTGCAGTTTTATTATTCTCAAAACAACTATTTAGTGAAGAAAACAGCTATTTTTGTAGTATTTTATCAATCACAGGATATTTATTGGTGAAACAGATGACTTGGTTGAGACGATTACAATCTTTTCAAAAATTGAAGTTAAGAAATACTATTAAAAATATTCCTGTATGACTTCAATGATCTAAAGTAAAAACTTCAACGTAGGTAGTAATATATTATCATTATAAATTTAAATGGACAAAACTGAAAAAATCGATACACAAAAAAGAAAGTGTTCCTCTGGCAACATGTGTACCTTTAAACGACAGAATTTGTTTTGTTTCTATTCTACCCCCTACCCCGTTCGCCCATAAGCCTACCCACTCGTTATAGCTTCTCATCAATTTGAAATAGGGAAAGTATGGAATTTCTCGTCACACAGCTATAAGACAATACTTTGGTAAAAGATTATTTCAAATAAATAATACGCATTCCTAAAGTAAAAATAATCTGTTCAGAAACTAACAGTAAAAACATATAGCTACATTATATGTGCAAGATTCTCGCCAGTTAGTTACAAACTTCATGCAGATTAAAGGCTAACATAGTGATACATGAGCTACGAGTCACGTTAACCATAAGTCCGAATAAGATTTGCAAGTAGTTGAAAAAAACACCTAATATAATAAGAGTTTGTAATGCCCTGTTTTAAATGCCGTTCTCCCCTTACTCAAATTCATGAAGAAAATAAGTTGTATAGATTTAGGTTGTTTGCCACCCAAATAGAAAATATTTCAAAACGTTGAAGATTTTTAATTTATAACTGAGAAAGTATGACTGTTCGTTACTTTCTCAGAATAGTATATTTCTCTTTAAACGCTAACGTTATCCACTGACTTACCGATACCAGATAACCAGTAAACTTGTTCAGTGGATAGGATGTTTAAATTATCTTGTTGAATATGCTCAAAACTGAATTCCGATCTATCTTTGTTAGCATATAAAAATCGAACGAGGATTTTCTCAGTGTAAACGTCAACATCAGGATCCAGGCACATTTAGCTGACGAGTTTCAAATGGGACGAAATTTCCAACCTGAATTCCACTACAACTCATAGTACATCTATTCTATGGAAAGAACTTGTAATAAAACAGGTGTATCTAGGAAATTCGCACAATATGAACGTTTACCAACAAAGACTGATCAGAACTCTGTCTAGAATATCAATAACGGAAACATTTAAAGGATTACTAGGTGGCTAAAACATATACGACATTCATAATATACTATCATTTTGTAAAAGACATCATAATGGAATTTTACTGATTTTGATTACAGTTCAGTAGGACACTGTCATATTATCTACTACAGAATTAAACCATGAAAATTAACATTTTAATCAATCAAAATCCATGATATAATATTACAGTGGGAGTCGATAACACTAACAATAACTATGTGAAAGAAAAATATCATTTTAACCAATACAACACTGAAAAAACAAGTAAAGAAATTTTCGACCTGGAAATGTTGCCTTAAATATAAAGAAAAAAGAGTTATGACAAAGAAAAACAATCTATTAAAAAGAAATAACACTAATCAAATAATCATGACTGTTAATTTTGAAACGGATCAGTATAAGTTTTAACTTTGTATATTTAAAAATTAGGGGAAAAGGATTTTCCAAAAGACTTTCTTATCTCAAATAGTTTTCAAGGAAGAGAAAAAAACAGCTATCTATTTGCTGTTATATATTAGGGTAAATTAGATTAATGTTGGTATATCAATGAAATAATTGTATTGATATTTAAAAAATGTCCTGCTTTTTATGAAGAAAAAGGATTAATCTTGAAATCCAGTAGGAAAAAACACCGATGAATTTCAACAGGGACTGATACCAGCAGAAAGAATCACTGGAAACCGATGAACAATAAGATACTTTAATTCACTTGATATTGTTTTACTTGAATCTTCCCATTGATGTTTTAGGACTGAAATTGATCAGTCTCTCACCCCATTGCACAAGCAAGTGGCTATTAGGACTCAGTAGCTAAGTGGATAACGCGATGGCGTTTGAAGAGAACGGTACTGAGTTCGAATCCCAGAGTGATCATCAATTCTGAGATGCAGTTACATCCAACTGACGAGTCCCGAACAGGACGAAACGCGCGTCCTGGATTCCACTGCTAGCTACTATCCATCTTTGCTTATAATAAGATACTTTTCCTATCCCAGTTTTCAACTCTTAAGTAGTGTACATTAACAAAGAAGTGTGATATTGAATCCAGAAATTCCAGTCAGCTATGGTAAGATTGTAACTGTAAGCTATTAATGACAGTATTATTTATTTATTTTAACATATAGATATTGGTACAAGGAGGCACCAAATACATATGCGCCACACAAATCTCATTTGATTTGTGTGAAGTCTGTGATACTGCCCGGGTGCCCAAACCGAAGCAGGTGGTTTTCTTAGAGGGCCACACCCCAGGCCTTCGACCTGAAGGTCTGATCCACAAGGCAGTGGAGCATCGTAAGGAGATGCAGTCCTATGGTAGCCGGTGATCAACAATTGGTTCATACGCCATTTGTTCCCTCAGGATCCTGGAGCCCATGTGCACCATTGGTTTGGAATCCGGTTAAAGCACCGGACATTCGCTTTTCGTCCTCTCATTTTCGGAAACAACACCCCCGCCACGAGAAGACAGTGAGTAGGACTTCCCTGGCAGAGGCTATATACGCGTAGCCATGTGAGAGCATTTCGAGAGGGAGAAAGGACTTATTTAATAAGACAAGATTATGAAAGGGAGAAAAAAAGCATAAAAATAAACAAAACAAAGCAAAGTAAGAGCTCTGTGCAACAACCTAAAAACTAAATAATCAATATGTTTTTTTAAAAAGACTAGCAATTTTACTAATGACTATTTATGCAATGAATTTAAACCTGTGATCTAGTTTTCTTTTTTTTCATCAGTATAGGGGGTTATGGAGATTGTTGAGTTGTTAGGTCTGATGTTTAATTTCAATGAAATTAACTCAATAATATTTGTATATGTTACCCGCATAAAATTTGCAAAACATTAAGACAATGGAGAATAAGAATAAAACAGTAGTCTATATCAGACAGCAATTTATAGTCTAAGATTTAACTTGTAAATCACCGGGTTAATTTATGTCATTATATTCAAACAATAAAAATTAATTATTTAAATATGATAGATAAATATAATGCATGTTTACATTAAAAGTAAAAATCAAACCATAGTTAATCATTTCATTAAATGGACTGACGATAACATAGAAACAAACAAATGAATAAATAAGTATGATTCACTAAAATAGTGAGTTAGAATGATGATTAGTATCACTTATTATTACTACATATGACTATATTTGACGACTGGTTACGTTCAAACTAATGCATTATACATCATCAAAACCACCAATCATTAAACATAAACTTATTTGACGATACATTGAAATTAATGAAATAAATACAAACACGTATTTCTATAGTACCCAGAATAAGATACAAATGGTAGAACGACTGTAAACATAAGCTCACTTATCTATATAATGATTGATAGTGAAAATTTATAAAATAGAATAGTCTACACAATACTATACAGGCGTTATTATAAGTCATATTTTGATATCATAAGGTTTTAATGATTAATAATTAAACTTTACACACTACAACTCCAGATTTTGCTGTGTCGGCGATAGTCGGATCATAATCTAGAAATATTTTCTTTTTCCTAAATCTCTATATGTTGATCTCTTATTATGTTATTTTTTTATGTTCAATTCTCAAGAATATATACTTATACACAGGCGTATTAGTAACTGAATTTTTCTTATCACGAGTCCAATAAACCTTTTAGTCAAGATTTCATTCCTTTCATTTAAATTAGTTAAGAATATAGAAGAAAAAAGGCTACTGATCATGATAATTCAGTTTAAGGTTATCTGATCTCACTACCAATCATATATCACTCTGACTATACATGTTTCTCACTTTTTTAATCACTCAATCCAACAACTGAATCCCGAAAGGCAAAAGTTGGTTAACTTTTATACTGACTGAGTGATAACTTTTTGATAGACTGCCATACAACGACAAAAGTAGTAAAAAAAGATATATATGAATGAAAACACATATTTGTGAACTAAACGAAAAATGAAATAAATCACTTCTGTGAAAAAAAACTCAACTAAAGTTTGCTTACAGACAACAGTAAAGCAATATTTGAATAACGCCACATATAAAATGAAGAAATTCATTTGGACAAAGTTAACCACTTTTGTAAACGTTCAAATATTATTTACTTTTATACGTGACAATAAATATTTGATTCTTTGACATAACGGGGGCTATTTGGAACTAACAAACCACTATTTTATGATTATATAATAAAGCGTACAGAGAGCAGTGGAAAACTATCTGAAATATAATCCAAAGGTTATAAGGAATACATAATTAGGTCCAGTATAAATCCATTTTGTATAATGTGTTCTTCTGAAATCCTAACAATATACGAACCATGAAGAAATACTAGACTTAGTGCAGTAAATGCTTCATTCAAGTTCATCTGTGACTTCAAGAATATAAAACAATAATTTTGAAACCTATAAAAAAATCTTTAAAACGACTCATATAACAATATTTAGAAAATAAATCTTTAAGAAAATGGAAACAAATATAAAACAGAAATTAAGAAATACTGTGTAGTAGCAATGTTCAAAAAGTATTGTTTTCGCGTTGTTAACCGAATTCATTAAGAAATAACTTCATCGGTGTTATAAATTGGATCCAGCAAACTTATAATACTCCATGAAGGCGATGGTCACATGCTTGAATAACAAAACTAGTCGTTATCAAACGTATACAACACGGATTACAAATACTTTATTAACTGATTGAACATTATTTTCAAGACACTTGAAGTCTGATATAAACATTGGTCAACACATCAACCCATCAAAACGTAAGATTTGGAAGGCATTGCTAGAAAGTTATGCACCAGCATGGTCATCAGTAACGGGTGCTCCTAATTATCAAGAAAACAGTAATAAACAATAGCAAATGTACGGGTAATTTTCATTATGCATTGGCGTCATCCAACTTCGGAACATCTTAACAATGTTTACTCAAGACCATTAACTCTTACAGTTAACACAGTACCATGTGTCAAGATACAATGGTGCAAATTTTTCATGATAAAAATTATCTTGAAATTATGCAAAAACCTCCATTCAATATTGAAGAAAATATCTTAAGAGACGTATTATACAGAACAAAACGATTTCTGAAGACTAGAAATTATTGAAAAGTGATATACATACGTTTATTTATTATAACTGTTGTAAGCATTAGAAAGATCATTACTATGGTCAATAGTATTGAAGGAATAATTTTAGTTCAAGGTCATTTATCCATTAAAATCTAAACTAGTGCGAGAAAATGCAAAGTACAGATTTAAGACTACAAAAGGAACATTAAAAATATGAAATAAAGTTCATTGATAATAAAACAAAAATCACAAAACAATTATCAGACATTCAGTACTGAAATGTACAACCGCTAGAGTCAACTAAGCAGGGAAAAAAACCCGGATTGTAAAACGATTATGACTGTGTATTTTTCACAATTCAAATATATATACAATTAACACATATCCGTTCATCGTATCTAAGTATATAGGTATGATATTGCTGATAAGTTTGGGATTATCTTAGTAATTTTCATAGTACATAAAAACACTGTTGTATTGCGGAGAGTGCTGAAGGCAGTTAAGAGAGTGTGTGGGAAATCTTTTGATGTTATTATTAATATGGTTGTGAATAGACATCTAAAATCTTGCAAACTCCTGGCAGGTGTTATTTTATCAGATACTAACCATCCCCTTCACTCTTATCTTTCTCTTTGTATATCTTCTGGTAGAACGAGACGTAATTACATTAAAATCCATGCACGCAAGGAAAAGTACAAATGTTCTATAATACCTTACCTAGCAAATATACTCTGTGACGAACAGGTTGTTAGAGTTAACCTAGTCAATAACTTGCATTCTTAACATGTCTCTAATTTAAAAAGTTGTACAGTTTTTCAAATTTTTAAAAAAAATTTTAAACCTTTTTTTGTCTTTGTTTTTTTTTTGTGTAAGAAACTTGTTGAAATACCCTGTGCTGAGAATTCTATATTGTACCAAAATATAATATTGAATAAAGCCATTAATTATTAATAATAATCATAATTAAATGGAGTAAAATGTAATAAGGAGTTCAGGTTCACTTATTATTAATCGCCATAGGACAATTAATTGTATTCAATTTCTCCAATTACTGCTGTTTGGATTTGTCCATACGTGTAGCGTTTCGGCTGTTAGCCTCTCTTTGTCTGAAATAGAACATTTTGGAGGATTCTTGTGCCATTGAAACCAATTATGCGGCCCAACTCTTCTGAGTACAGTGCCATCGCTGGCCTATTCCCTGGCTTTTTTTCAGGTTTTCTGATGACTTAGAAATGTGCTTCAAGCAAAGTTTGTGTTCCTCCACCCTAACATTCAGCTGCTGTGATGTTTCAACTACATATATAGCATTACAGTCACTATATTTGATCGCATTAGCACAAGTTTTTGTTCCCCTTTTAGCGATGAATCTTTGGTTGTTACCAGTTTGGGTGACATAATAATAACAATCGAAGGATAAAATAATAGTGACTGCACTGTACTTATAACTAGTTCAAATTATATGATTGATATAACTAGTTCAATCACCACAGACTAAAACAACTCATACAGACGTCAAAAAGGACAATGATAAGATATATAACAATAAAAGTACAGTTATTATTGAGTTTAGGGCTAACCAAATTTATTAATTGATTTAAATATCGTATATATTGTTGGTACAAGTACATTTAATGTTTATCTTCCTTTAAAACCTTAGTTTTTAAACTAACTTATTAGCTTTACTACTATTTCACTGGTCTATATTTTCTTCTTGAATAAAATCTTTCAAGTTTAGTTTTTGTATTACCATCAATACTGTTGCTATCTCTACTTGCCTCGAAAATTTTGTTGAGGTTCGGTAATGGGGTGTAGCAAGTGGAGCAGATGTATACATGTGCCAGGTTCTACGTTGCGTATGACTGACTGACTAACTAACTGAAAAATTATGTCGAGTTTAAAAGCAATTTCTTATCAAACTAGGATAGTGTTTTCTAAGAATCAATGATTTTTCAGATGACGTTGGTTTGTAATGCAAATTACTTACAAACTATTTAACTCTTACAATTTTTTAACCAATAGTTATTATATCAATGAAATTCTCCACCTAACTTTATAAATGTAAACATGATAGAGAAACACATTACAAATTTATGAAGTAAAACAAAAAAAACAGGGTTGATTGAACTGTAAAATGTGAAGTACAATTATGCAGAAATTCTATAAATTTATTTTGATTCAAAATAAATTAACTAACTTCTCCTGTGGCTAAATATTTTCCATCTGAACTAAAATCCACTGCTGTAATGGCTTTACGACTTTGACTTTGTATAAATTGTTGTCGTTCATTTTCAAATGAATGAAGAACTGTCACACACCTATTTACAAATGTATACATTATTATTATTAAATCAATAGCTTGAAAAACATAATTTTAAAAATTATTCATCTGAACAACATAATAATTTAATGTTTTATTCTGTCAGTTAGTATTAGTCTACATAAATTTTCATACTAATTGATGCTATTACCCAACTACAGACGTTTAAAGGGTGATTACATAGAAAACATTTCACTCATTGTTGCATAATACATACAAAACATGACCACCAAAAGTAGAATATGGTTTTAAGCTGCATGTCATCGATTATAAGCATTTTTAAAGTCCTGACAGTGTGTGATGGAAGAATAGTGTTAGTTTTCTGTGTGATGAATTTCTTAGCGTTGATAGGACTGTAAACCAATCTCGAACAAGACAGTTGAGCTTAATCACGATCAGCTGATGTTATATTAGTGTCCTGAGATGGTTATAGGTTGATTTGATAAAATATTAAGATGACTGAGTTCACTGGACTGAAATTCCACTTGCACGATGGTTTCAAGAATCCTGGACAAATAAACTTACCAAAACAAAGCCATCGATCGACTTAATGAGTATTTGATTATGTGCAACAGAATTACATGTTTGGAAAATGTTAGGCTATAATACTATACCTGAATTACTTATCAGATCATGATTAATTAAGTATACGAATTAAAAAAAAATAAAGTACTCAAAGGTCCTTCATTTCTGCTTAACACGATCGGTTAAAGTGGGAGTGAATTGAAAAAAGAACTACGCATGGTTATACCTTTAGCGGTGCGAAATCTGACTCCAAAACGAATGAACGATAAATGAGCCATGAACATAAGTCTTATATTAAATTCCGTATATTCCACTTAGACTAACACTTTTTAGGCGACGGCGGTGATTAAAATCTAAATACGAATTAGGTTTGATCCATTTATTTCATGTACCTGTTTACTCAGACATTAAGATGAGAAGCGAAGCGGAGTGGGGGAGGAAAGCGTACCAACTCCACTTTATGGAAGGTGACTCACTATTTATGGTCAGAAAAATAAGCTAAAAAGATGTGATGAATGGAGTAAGCCACAGACAAAATATGTTCAAGGCCAGGGTTGCAAACGGATAACTGACAAATTTGTGGATAATGATGCAAGAAGAATAATTTAATTGGTCGTTTTAGATGTGATATTGTACTAAACACTATCAATACGATGTAGCATTAGTCTACAAAGTAACATCCTAAATCTGAAAGTTATGAGATAATCCAAGCTTCTTTTCACAGGATAGCAGTAATCGATGGTTGAAATTTGAAGCGTTTTCTAATTGATCCCCAAACTCGAACAACTTGAAGCAGAATAGAAGCTTTATTTTTACATACTTTCCCTGAAAATGCCATCAAAAAACACGAGTGCATATTGGCAATGGAAATTAAAACAAATGATTAAAAACAATTTTTAGCAAAAGAGAATGATATATTATGGCTTTTAGTATATCTGATAAAAATAAAGCTGATTTGAATATCGCACTCCCTAGTTAGACAAACTATGAAATTTATTAACTACAAAAAGTAAAATATGTTGCAAACTTTATGAAATTTGTGCTACAGAATAACATCTACAGAAAATATATCATATAAACGATATAAGTACTAAACTGCAACTCACCCAGCAGCATGAGCAATAAGACCAGTTTTATCAGAGAATGCAACTGCGCAGTTATTGTTCAACGTAAAACCTATTACCCGTTCAAGTGTAACCTGAGTATTAGGCTAATTAAGATGAAGAAGTAATGAAATAAGAGTTCCGTTGAAATGAATTTCAAAATATCGTTAACAGTCACGATCTGACACGAAACATCTCGATAATACAACAGATATGATTGGAGAAAAGTTAAGTACAAAGATCCGCAATACTAACGACCATCACATAACATATCTAAGCACATGGTGACACTTAGTTACATCTATAAACAGAAATCTAAGAGTACACTAACTGATTCCCATAAGAATACGCGCTTAAAATTCTTAAGCGAAAAACATAGTATACTGAAAGCGTATAAAAAATAGGTAAAACCAACATGAATTCTTTACTCTACCAGGTATACTATTTTGTGGTGGAAATAGTTTGACAAGCTGAGATTTTACCTATTATATTGATCGAGTAAAAACCTCAATGCAAAGTGGTAATCACGGAACAAAAAATTATTTAATTCAGAAATGATGGGTGTTTACCAACTTTAAAACAAAAAGACAATATTTCCTAATAAACTTTCTCTTTTTGGGAATGTTACTTTTAGTGATTACTTGGACACGAAAAGCCCGAACACATATTTTTTGAATCTATTTATTTGATAAAAAAACTTAACAAGCACTATAAGCTTATAACACACCACCTTCAAAGTAATAAACTAAGAGGTAAATGTCCGATCCAGAATTCATTTTTTAACTAATAGTTGATACTTGCTAAATTTGGATGAATTGATAATACTACATTACTTTTGGTCTGATCTGTCTACTTTTCTGTACTGAAAATCGCTAGCATGAAGTAGTTCATGGCATAAAACGATCTGTAAATATCAGGGATTTCTTTGTCCTCTAATTCTTATGAGAAATCCCCGTTATATGAAAAAGTGAGTCCTGAAGTTGTTAACAAATAAATGTCTGAAAACGATGTGACAACAGTGAACCACCCCAAATCCTATAGTTCTTCATTTCGAGATACACGAGTTAGGTATTCGATCGTAAACAATGGCTCCACAGATTTGAGAGCGAATGCAGAATGTTTCGACATGATATTTTCTAAGACACACTTACCGATCTTAAAATATTTGACGGAATTTTGCACAAACAATTCTGATTTAAAAGCACGTGGTCAGGGATCATAGAGGTTATTTACAAAAATCTTTTGGTTTGTGTACATTTTAAGCGGGATGACATTTATACCAAGCTAACACTGAGGTTTATAGAAAGGAATAAGAGGCGGTCATTTAATGGGAAGGACCAATATAGTGAAGGGTAATTTAGTGGTATTATTACTCACTAGCTCGTTAAGATCAGATACTCTGCGGTATTATTTCTACCAATTACACATGTAGATCATAAGACGATTGAGATAAAAAAATCTGAATGAACGGGATTGGTCTGAGAGCGCCAAAGGCTAGCATAAACAAGTCTCTAAGTCCCTAGTTTATTCTTCGGTATACGTAGGTAATAATTCATACAACTGGTAGGAAGCGACTGGTAGTTTTTTAAATCAATTCTGATTAGACTTAACACGAAAAGATAGAACTTTTGGAGAAATAGTGTTACATCTGAACAAAACACTGATATGAATACTTGTCATGACGGCGGAAAAACTGTTACTTGCTACTTGTGACAACCAAGTAGGATTGATACGGCTTGATGAGAAGGATGAAAAAGAGTGCACAAGAACATTTGTTATGAGAAAAATAATAAAAATGTATCAAATATACTGAGAGCACATGTTTACTTATCTGATCAATTGTTGGGTTTCAGTACACTGAACTTGGTAGTACTTGGCTTAACATATGTTTTCGATTTAAAATATTAATAAGTTAAACTGCTTTGGCTGACAAATATTACTGATCTGCTGAGCTACATATTTACTCCTTTCTGACGATTAGTAAAGTTTTTAATACTTTTGATTGAAGAATGAATCTGTCTTTAGTTTCGAAAAATTAAGACTAATCAGATCAATAAACTAGCTACCAATCATTCGGAATCGAAGAATCTTCACATCAAAATACATTAAATTTAAGAACGAGATAAGACAAGAAAATTAGAAACTAGATAAATTTGCAGACTTCACTATTACCCTTTAAAAAACTTACTTGTATCTTGCATGATTTAGAAATCGTATGTGAGCGCACTGGGCGTTTAGACATATCTCAGTTATTTTAACCAAACATTCTACTAAACCTCTTGGCATTCTGCAATCAGAAAACAAAAACATGACATGGTCTAGATATCAAGGGATGACAAAAACTTAAAGAAATATAGTTAAATAATAGTGGTTTGTGACCAAGAATTTTAAGAGACTTGTTGCATTGAGTTATTAGTTTTTTAAAGTTCAAAGCAAAACACTGATTAGGCCGAAAGATCCGTCTAGAAAACAATGCATAGAACGAATAAATAAAACACCATTATAAAAATAAATACTTGAAGAAAAATTGACAGATCTTTGGTTGCGATTGATTTTTGTACATTTCATATGGCGTCTTAAAAAGTACGGTGCAGATGGAGAACTGGTAAGAGCTAAGATAGATAGTAAAAACTTGACAGAAATGCATGGTCTCTATTGTTGTACTTAGTTATCAACAGGAAGTTAAAATAGTATCGCTGATTTTTGTACATAAAAAGTCCGAAGGAAAATACTACTGTAGATCTTGAGTCTAAAATATCAAAAATAATCGAAAGAATGAGCGATGTATACGGTGATCACTCGAGAAAAACGACCCGCTTCCAGCCGATCAAATGCAAAAGTTAAACCGCTCTATTACCATATATAATCCTTTAAAATTCAAAAGCGCCAACTAAATTTGAGGAAATCGTTTTATAAAGACTACTGATAATGCACATAATCGCAAATCGAAATAGGTCAGTCAGTCAGTCAGTCATTAACAACGTAGAACTTCGTACGTACGTACACCAGTTCGAGTCGCCACACCACATTAGCACAGAGATGCAGTGGTCGATTCAAATCCCGTAGTGCTAGATGTAGTAAAATTATAAGCTGTAATCAGAAAAATTAGGGTTTGAAGATGTTGTTCAAGGAGTACAATCCAGTGAAATAAATTTGGAAAGAGAGGTAGGACTGAACTTATGTTCGAGCGCTAGCAAATAGAACGCTGTCACATGCCCCATTGACTACTTGTACAAACATTAAAAATAAAACTCCTAATTTTCTCACAGAGACCTTATTTAATTCGACGGTTGAACAATATGCTTCTATAGAAGTATACTACGAAGTCACCAATTGATAAGCTAAAATGATATTTCGAGAGGACATGGCACTTAAATCCTTATATACCAGAAAAACGGAAACTCATATGTTGAAGTACGTAAAAATAAGAGGTTGATTATGATTATGGTAATCTATACCATAAAAACAATGTCCTACAGTAAAGTGTCTACTCAAAAGTAACGTGGTAGTTTAGTGCAAGCGGCGATTTGGTTAGGTCTGCAATACCTTTTCTCATGGTGTCCAATCTGACCAAAATCTAACTACATTCAGAACACATCTAAAGCCTTTTTTGAGAAGAATAATCAACTTAGGAACAGATCAATAGATGACAGCCATCAGAATGAGTTGCTGGTAAACACGATTGATCCTATAAATAACCGTGATCTATCAGTCTTCGGTAATTAGAATAGGAGGTCTATTAACCTATATTATTCCTTGCAGTTTGTAACACTGTGGAGGTTCAATCTCGTTTGCGATATATCGGCAGAATGTGTTGATATTATGTGTTCTGAGAGTTTCAGTAACTCATTACTCAGTGTGAGAAACGAAAATCCAGACTTAGATGATTTGATCTCGGTTTTTGAATGTCCTCTCAAACGATCAGTCCTAGACGAAAGTGAAAGATAAGGGGTATTAATACCAAGGTCAATGTTCAGTATACTTACTTACTTACGCCTGTTACTCCTCGTGGAGGAGCATAGGCCGCTCACCAGCATTCTCCATCCAACCCTGTCCCGGGCAATCCTTCCCAGCTCCTTCCAGTTGTTATTCGTCCTTTCCATAAATGTTTCTAGTTCCCGATATAATGTGTTCTTTGGCATTCCTCCTTTACGCTTCCCTTCAGGATTCCAGGTAGGGCTTGCCTCGCGGTGCAGTTTGATTTGCGTGATGTATGTCCTATGCATTTCCATCGTCTTTTAGTAATTTCTTCTTCAGCTGGAAGCTGGTTTGTTCTCTCCCAGAGAAGGCTGTTGCTGATAGTTTCCAGTCAATGGATGTCGAGTATCTTGCGTAGACAATTATTTATAAATACTTGTACCTTCTTGATAGTGGTTGTTGTAGTTCTCCAAGTTCCAGCTCCATACAGTAGAACTGCCTTGACGTTGGTATTGAAAATTTCGACTTTGATATTGTTTGAAAGTTGTTTGGAGTTCCGTATGTTCTTTGTTCAGCATACGATAAGTCAATACTAGATCATCCCGTACTCTACGGTAAGATAACGGAAATAAGTTAAGGTGTCAGTCTGTCTTCATGAGATAGGCCTGACAGACCTTTTACCATCTTAGTCCATCGTCGTTTGACTGGTTCCAGCATATCCACCTCACACGTGAAACAACGACTAACTTCTTGAATCCCATATTCTAACTTTAGTAGCATATAAATCGGGTATAATAATCTAAACATTTCATCATCTAAACACTGGAAAGACCTACGAATAGACCATAATACCCTATAGCCTTTCACAGCAGCAACCTTACACTGACAAGTGGTTTTGCGATCACTTTAATATGACTCCTAAATCTTTATAGTTTCTTAATTTGGGTAGCACGAATCCACATATTGTATAGTGATACGATTCATCATAGTTATTTAATTGCATCACCACACTCTTATTAGGATTTACTTCTAGTGACCACCTGTCCAACCATACCACCATTGAGCTAAGATCATTCTGTAATACTATCCTATCCGACATACTGTGTATGGGTCTCCAAATTTTTATATCATCAGCGAAGGGTAGAACGGATGATTTTGCTACAGTTGGTAATTTATTTACATAAAGTGAAAAAAGAAGAGGACCGAGGATTAGGCCTTGATGAACTCAACATTTTATAGGTTCCCACGAGGAGGGAGCTCCATTTTTCCTTGCCCTTGGCCCCCTGTCATGGAGAAAATCACATATCAAATCTATGACTGTTTAATGGATTCCAAGACATTCTCGTTTGGATTTCAGACCAGCATTATCTAAGGCTTTTCTTAGATCTATGAAAATCACATCTGCAGGAATATTTCGATCTTTTGCAGCAACCCAACCTGAGGCTTTTTTGGTATCATTTCCTGCCGGTATTAACGGATTTTCTTGTATCGGAAGTGATAGAATTCCATCGCTTCTCCGAGTTCGCCGTTTTATAAACGAGAATAACCGTTTCGGAGGATAATTACAATCCATAACAAATTGTTTTTCATGTGACCGTCTAGTCTTACCAGTAATAACTGTACAAGCACTCCTAATCTTATGATAACTGGATCTGTATTGTTCTAACTCAGTGGATATAGGCGTATTCCAATGCTTTTCCCTGAGTTTAAGAAGTTTCTTGACTTGCTTAGTTATAAATAGTGGACTGTTATTCGGTCTGTAGTATTACGGTCTACTTCGATATTAGTACTGATCTAATAATAGATCTAATCCTATAATTGTAGATTTGCCATGATATAACTGCCTAATATACAAAATCTTACGTGGATGTCACATCATTGTCTACATCAACTCACTATATTATAACAATTACCAATACATGGTGGATAACAAACTTAGGCTAGAGATAGAACAATATATTTAATATAGATAAAAGATATAAGATAACATCCAGCAGGGACCACTCCTGCATGACCGAGCCATACCATCCGATCAACTCGAAATAATTCGATTCATTCTTCCCACCCTATCCATAGTTAGGTATTTCTCCGCGTTAAGTATTGAATAATTATTACCCGAGTAGTCTCGTGTTCAGCTTTGAGGATTGTGTGGTTATGGTCCAATTTCACCGCACGTCTACGTGGTACCAGGTACCGTGTGAACGGGGACGTAACTGAACTAAACTTGTCTTTAAATTTAGACCATGTTTCTTCAACTGATGAGGTCGTATCTACTGAACAATTTGTCTGAGCAGCGCACTCCTGAATGGCTAATATGTTAGCTTTCCATACATTTGGGCGGGGTGTAACCTGATCGTATATCATGTCACCAGCTCTAAACGTGAATGACAAAACAGCGTGATCGCTGTTCACTAACAGTGGAAAATTGTTTAACTTGGCCATATCCACATTCGCATGAGTAATTACCAAGTCCGATAGAGAAGAACCTCGGTTTGCAACCAAACGTGTTGGTTAGGATACATGCTGTACTAATGAATGCTCCATTATTGTTATCAGGAACCTACTGCCAAAGGAGTTTATAGATCCTTCCGTTGTCATCTCAGTTCAACCAATATCAGGTTCATTAAAGTCTTCTAATATTAAGCATTTGTTATTTGCACTCCATAGCCAAGTCATCAGCTAAGCAGATTGAGCTACGATGGATGACACCGAGTATAAATGTACCACGTCCGATAGTGAGATCGCAGTTAATGACTTCACAAGTTCCACCTTCATGGGATTCTCAAATAAAGGAGCGGATCTTTATATTATCGATATGTATAAAAGGACGCCACCTCCTTCCCGATATTTGAGTCTATCACTTCTTAGGTAGTGGCATCTGGATAATTCTGAAGCAATGTCAAAGTCATGGACTAACCAAGTTTCTGTCACAGACACGATGAGCGGGCCTAGTTTGTACACTAATACTTTGTAGTGTGGCGTCGAGTCGCGTTTGGCTGTGATCACCACTACAGGAAGACTACGTGCCAGTCACAAGGTCACAATCAACGGAAACTAGAATATCTTTTGTGCAGTCAAACAAACAAATACAGTAAAACAATCCCTGGTACAACTGGCTATAATAATTATTTTTTAAACCAATCGCGTTCTCTTGATAAAAGTAGGTCACCACAACTTTCAGTTCATAGAATTTATTTCTTAGACTACAAGCATTAGCATATAAATCACCTAGGGAGAACAGTCTACCCGCGCAGGCCCTGATAGCATTCGATTCAAATTCCTGACTATCCGAAAAGCCACTAATCGGTGATTTTCTCACCGTTTTGTCGACGGGTTCCTGGGTCAGCTAGTGCCGTCTTTCTTTTTATCCTGCCTTCAAGGCATATCAGGTTTTACTCGGATGTAGGTGTTGTCGTGACTACAAGCGTCACACAACAGAAGATCACGTTGCTTCTCCGACCTCCGGATTTCCTTAAGGTGCCTCTTTATGGTCAGTGATTAACACATTCGTCGGTCCTTTTCTCTATTCTAACATAGTTTGTGTGCTGAACTCGTTTAGAGTTATCTGGTATTAATATATATAAATTTGTTAGTGGCACTGGGCCCTAATGCGAGACGTTGTGGGAAATAGACATTCAGTATTTAACACGGAGAAATACCTAACTATGGATAGGGTGGGAAGAATGAATCGAATTATTTCGAGTTGATCGGATGGTATGGCTCGGTCATGCAGGAGTGGTCCCTGCTGGATGTTATCTTATATCTTTTATCTATATTAAATATATTGTTCTATCTCTAGCCTAAGTTTGTTATCCACCATGTATTGGTAATTGTTATAATATAGTGAGTTGATGTAGACAATGATGTGACATCCACGTAAGATTTTGTATATTAGGCAGTTATATCATGGCAAATCTACAATTATAGGATTAGATCTATTATTAGATCAGTACTAATATCATAGTAGACCATAATTCTACATATTCTCCGAGCTTTGCCAAACCATGCGCGTATGTAATTTTGAGATCAGGATCGCTTTACCTCAACAAATTACTCACAGTAATATTCGATTAGATCATATTCTTCTCAGTCACGCTAGGGTCGAGTTTTTTCTTAATATCAGACTTCGGTAGTGTATTATGTGACTTATACTGACACAAGTAGTATATGATGTCAGTCGTGAACAGAAGGTCTGGCAGCACAGGGACAAGAGGATCGAATGGTAAAGAATGGAAACAGGATGCAATTTGCTTAAAAGTTTAAGAACAATGAGGTCTGGGTCATTTTGAGACAATTGGTGGACATTTTGCAAATCGAGCATTTAATTTATGATTGTCAGATTCTATCAACAAGTCCTGTAATTTTGTGTTAAATACATTCGATTGTTCACCACTGGTGTTCGTGTTCACTACACTAATGGGAGTTCACCAATGATTTGCCAGTGAAGTGCATATTACCTACAGCTTTTTTCGTTTTATTTATTGTTCTGCATAATGCAGTCCATTTTTCATCACTCAGGACAGCTACACAGGGACTATTTGGAACGGTGACGGTTTTATCTGGGCTTTCAGTTTCCACTACTGATGCATGATTACCAATGCCAATATCAAGTGGCACTTCACTCCT